ATATTTCCCCATGTTTATCATCCTGTTATTCATAGAGATCAACAGTTGTTGACTTACCTTGTGTTACAGCACAGCATGTTGAAATCATCAACGCAGTGAAAAGGAATAATTTCTCCATCTAAAATTTGAAAAAGTCTGTTTCATTTATACATTTAGTGAAAACCAAAAAGTAAAAAAACACAATTAAAGCCATTCAATGAGATTTGAAAAAAAAAACATACTTACCATATAGTTAATATCTTCTGCTCCAACAATGAGTATTGAGTGTTTGTGTGGAACAACCTTTATATACAGTTTACGCTCCTCCCTGAGCAGCTCTTTCAACAACGGGCTGCTTCAACCACATAGCAGAATGGAATGTTTTTATATGTATATCCTCCGATCACCCAGCAGGCTGTTTACCCCAGAGGCACCATGGTGTCTGAACTGTTAATAATATTCATACTCACAAATCTACTTGTTTCATGCCCCTTTTTTGTATTTTGCATATAGCTAGAATATGAATTGTTTGTTATTGCACTACTTTCTTTTTTCCTTAGAATTTCCCCGGTGTGGGATCAATCAAGTTGTTATCAGATTGACCCTTAAATTTGTATCCGTGTTAAACCCTAAAACAATAAAGGTCATTAAATTTCATTAATCTTTTACTGCTTTATTGTTTTCTGCCAAAACCAGCAGTCATTCTGTAAATTCAAGGTCACAACCAGGACTGTTCACTAGTCCATCACATACAGAGACCAACAAACACCCACACTTACAGTCATACTGATGGTGAATTACAAGCGAACAACTAATACAGTCCTGCATGTTGAGGACTGTGGCAGGAAACCTGAATACCTGAAACAAAAAAAACCTAGAAACACATTAAAAACATACAAACTCCATAGAGAGAGACAGTAGTGATGAATGGATCTGATCATTTTATATATTTTTAAAAACTGCCGAAAGAGATTGAAAGAGAACGAGAACATATTCAAACTCCATACAGAAACCAACTCCAGTTACCATAAAAGAGCTAGCTGTTGCCCTCTAGCGGTGAAACATCGCAATTTCACAAAGACTTTTTCTTTCAAGCTTAGAATTACACCTCAATGTAAAACATGCTGCTGTGAGCACAGACACCAGAGCTAAGGTTAGCTTCATCAGGCCTGGTACAGACACCAGAGCTAAGGTTAGCTTCATCAGGCCTGGTACAGACACCAGAACTAATGTTAGCTTCAACAGTCCTGGTACAGACACCAGAGCTAAGGTTAGCTTCATCAGGCCTGGTACAGACACCAGAGCTAAGGTTAGCTTCATCAGTCCTGGTACAGACACCAGAGCTAAGGTTAGCTTCATCAGGCCTGGTACAGACACCAGAGCTAATGTTAGTCTGGGTACAGACAGCAGAGATAACAGTAGCTACTCCTGGTAAAAAAATGTGGGTTTGTATTTATCTTTGAATTCTTATTATATAGTCATATAGTGGCCTAATAAAATGCACAGATAAAGAAAGAAAAACAAAAATATGTTACATAAAGTTTTAGTGTTAGCTATCCTTCTTCATATTTTGATCATATTTACTGGATTTATTTTTTTAATCACAACCTGTTACATATCATCTGGTGCATCATCCACTAAAACCTGCCCAGTGATTTCATACTGAAGGGACCTCCAGTTGATCACGTTGCCTGGGGTGAAATGTCTGTGGTTCGCATAGCGTTGGACTTCAGTGGGAGTCAGGACATGGTCCCACATGTGGACATCAGAAATCATACCAATGAAAGACTTAGCGGCATTAAAACCTCCACCGCAGGAGTCTTGTTCTTGACCCAGAATGGTGATGGGTTTACCACTGATGGGCCCAGTTTTAATAAATCTCTTGATAGACTACATGAAGGTTTAGATACAAACAAGGTCTAAAAATGATTTATTTAATAGTTGTTAAATGAACTGTGAGCTACTTATAATCTGTGACAAATTACCAAAAATAAAGTCTTTTCCATAGCTAACATTGATTGACTTAGCTACACCAGTCCTGGGACATAAACCAGAGCTAACGTTCAGTCACATTTCTTTCAATTTTTTATTAATTTTAAATATACAAAATTATTTTCAACAAACACCAGTGGCACATGAAAGGACAAAAATATAACCAGCCTTTGAGTGTTCTGACATTTATTTGTTGGCATTAATTCAGGTTGTGAATGAAGTTACAATAAGTGGTGGACATCCATCACTGTTTGACAACCTGTTACATATCATCTGGTGCATCATCAACTAACACCAGCCCAGTGATTACAAAATCAAGGGACCTCCAGCTGAACACATTTCCTGCGGTGACGTGTTTGTGATTCATGTAGCTCTTGATCTCAGTGGGAGGCAGGACATGGTCCCACATGTGGACATCAGAAATCATACCAACGAAAGACTGAGCGGCATCAAAACCTCCACCGTAAGAATCTTGTTCTTGACCCAGAACGGTGATAGGTTTACCATTGATGGGTGCTCCTGACACAATGAATTTCTTCACACTTGGTTTACCATCTAACCACACCTGAGACAACCCCTTGTTAGACTCCCAGGTGACACACAGAGAGTGCCAAGTGTTGACTTGGAACGGCATCGACAGGAAGTCTGCAGCTGGCTCCAGGGTATGGATTCTGATGGCCTTAGGGTCGAACTTGTAGAGCACGATGGCGTTACTTCCTGAGGGAATCGCCATGGACAAGAGACTATAGGTTCTTGACAGATCAGTGAAGAATCTGGACAAAGGAGCACAACGTCAGCTGAGGACACACTTGAGGAAATATAAGTACAAACCCAGCTTTTCTGAGGTCACCACCTGAGACAGACGGTGTAGGAGCTGAACACAGATTTTGTAGTCAGGAGTTTAACATGGTCCTTGTTGTTCTCCTTGGGGAAAACAAACACTTTTCCAGACAAGTCTGCACAAAAGAGACAACAGTTCAACAACAAATATAATGACAATCATCTGGAAAATCACCTCAGTCTGGGTAGTCATTTTTATTTGGCTAATGATTCAAATTTTTAGTATTTAGTCACTGGGTAGCTTTGGATTAGTACAATAAGTCACCATTTAATCATGATTAGTTGATAACAGGAGGCATTGCAAAAAATATTTTGAGAACCAATGTGTTGTAATATATAAAATAAGGTCAGGAGTTTTTGATTACCCGCGGCTCAGTACTGCTTCTGTTACCACTTTGAACAGTGGTATATAACGTCTTACTCAATCGTCAATCCTTGTTTTGTTGTATGTTTTTGCTGGAATTGTTGCACAAAACCCTCATCACTACTAAATGACAAAATCCTGAATCTTGTACATTTCTTATGTATGTATAAAAAATGTTGACTTACCTTGAGGAACTGCAAAACATGCTGAAACCATCACAGCCAAAAAAACGATTTTCTCCATCTAAGATTAAAAAAAAAAAAAGTGAATTTCAGTGTTTTAAACAGCATGGTCCAAGTATTAGGAGATGATAATGCCAACATTCATTTCAAGGATATTTGAGAACCAGTTTCCCTACCTTTGATGCTGGAGCCTTTCTGTGAAGGTAAACGTTGGTCAATCAGCTGCTCTGTGGTGAAGCAGAGAGAAAAAAGGAACTTATATCTCCCGAACTTTTTGCTGTGGTTTCCCAATAGAGGACTATGGACCTGGTTTATCCTGATTCTGGAGGTAAACACTGTGACTTTTATATGTTTGTGGGTACACTGCGGAGATTAGAGCCCAGCTGCAGCAGGGAGAGCACGGGATTGGCGACGCAGGTGCAGCCCATCACGCAGTTGGGCCCAATTCGAGTCATCGAGCCTCTCCCTATATTAGTAGAAGCCGGGACCGAGGAGCGGTCAATGTTCAATATTACGAGTCTGCAACTATTATAAGTATATATATATAAGTATATGTAAATAATAATAAGAAGAATGTACCTTCTTTTTCGTACACATTAGGCACATTAAGTGAAACAAAACAGTCGGCGACAATATCGGTGAGATGGGCGCGGATGAATAGGGACGGAGATTTGTGGAAAGGGGTAGTGACCTAAGTTGGACACAGGAGGGCACTGCTGTTGTCGTTCACCCCCCAGAGTCAGGCGGTTGTCACTATTTTTGTTCTGGATGGTCACCGTATTGTTGTTTTGACGCTGTTCCGTGCAGAAGTGCGGATGTTGTTTTGCAGAGAGAGATTGTGTGTTTATACGGGTTATAAGGCGCACCGTCGATTTTTGAGAAAATTAAAGGATTTATATAATAAAAGTGTTATATAATAACTTCACCCAGATTGGTTTCATTTTACCATGGAGCCGTATATGACTGAAACTAATTTTGAATGTTTCATTTTTAACATTTTGGTTGATGACTGAATCAATAAATACACATTTTTGAGAATTTAAACAATTTTATTTTTTAAATTTGTCAGTACATGTCCTGCAGATCACACAGAGACGTGTTGTCACCCAGTGTTTCCTGTATAGATATCTGGAAAGGTGCAGTTAAATGTGTTTTCTTTTTTTAAAGACCTGATTAAAAAATACAGCAACCTTTTGCAAAAATCACCAAACAAATGATTAGTTTTGATCGTTTAAATTGGTTTACAAATGTTTTGATCATCAAGAAACATGTTGTCTGACGACCTGTTACATATCATCTGGTGCATCATCCACTAAAACCTGCCCAGTGATTTCATACTGAAGGGACCTCCAGTTGAACACATTTCCTGGGGTGACGTGTTTGTGGTTCATGTAGCTCTTGATCTCAGTGGGAGTCAGGACTTGGTCCCACATGTGGACATCAGAAATCATACCAACGAAAGACTGAGCTGTATCAAAACGTCCACCGTAGGAGTCTTGTTCTTGACCCAGAATGCTGATAGGTTTACCACTGATGGGTTGATTTGTGACAAACTTCTTAACATATGGTTTGCCATTCAGCCATATTTGAGCCACGCCTGACCCATGTCCCCAGGTACTACAGAGACTGTGCCATGTGTTCTGTGGAAATGGCACTGCGTGGAAGGTTGGACCGGAGCCAGAATTGACATGGAATACATGATTTGCTGGCTCCCCATAGATCAAAAAGGCATTTTCTACCGTTGGAGTAGACATAGAGAAGAGACTGTAATCCCTGTTGAGATCTGTAAGAAATCTGAACAGAAAACACCTTATGAGAAACTGAGAGAAATAAATATTGTTTTAAAATGTTTAGAGTTTTCATGAGCACCACCTCAGGCACACTGTCACGTTGTAGAATGTAGATCTGGTTGTGAGGAGTTTAACATGGTCAGTGTTAGTCTCCTTGGGGAAAACAAACACCTTTCCTGAGAGATCTGCGTAGAAGAGGAGATACCATAACAAATATATTCCCCCATGTTTATCATCCTGTTATTCATAGAGATCAACAGTTGTTGACTTACCTTGTGTTACAGCACAGCATGTTGAAATCATCAACGCAGTGAAAAGGAATAATTTCTCCATCTAAAATTTGAAAAAGTCTGTTTCATTTATACATTTAGTGATCACCAAAAAGTAACAAAAAACACAATTAAAGCCATTCAATGAGATTTGAAAAAAAAAACATACTTACCATATAGTTAATATCTTCTGTTCCAACAATGAGTGTATTGAGTGTTTGTGTGGAACAACCTTTATATACAGTTTACGCTCCTCCCTCCCTTCTAACTTTAACAAAAGAAAGTAAAAAAACAAGGTAATATTTAACAATTTACAACATGTCCACCTATCTATGTAATAGTTGTCCTTAATGACCATCCAGTCTGAGTCATTTATAATGTACAATAAACTCTCACAATTGTAAAAAAATTAAAAAAACAAAACAAAAACCAAAGGTTGTGGAGGAGTGGAGGTTAGGAGAGCTAGCTTGGTCGTAAACTGTCTCTTACAGACTCTGGAGGATGGATCTAGATACAAACTCCATGGAAAAAGACGGTAGTGATGAATGGATCTGATTATTTTATATTTAAAAAGAAAAAAATGCCAAAAGAGATTGAAAGAGAACCAGAACATACACACAAACTCATACAAACTCCACACAGAAACCACCTCGTTACCATTAAGTAGCTAGCTGTTGCCCTCTAGTGGTGGAACATCACAATTTCAAACAATATTTTGTATTTTGATGAGCTTGATGTTGGCAAGCTGTGGTTTCCTAATAAAGGACTATGGACCTGTTTTATCCCTGACTCTGGAGGTAGCCGGGACCAAGGAGTGGACAGCGTGGGTACGCTGCGGAGGTTAGCAGGTGCAGCCCCTCACGCAGTTGAGCCCAATTCGAGTAATCGAGCCTCTCCCTATATTAGTAGAAGCCGGGACCAAGGAGTGGACAGAGAAGTGCGTGCTGACTCAGCAACTTGAACCCACGTGTTACTACGGGTTGCACAAGGATTTTTACATTTAAATGATGCTCCATATATTTACATACAACGTTTAAATGATGCTCCATATATTTACATACGGGTCAGTTTGATACTTCTAGCATCTTTTACTGACCTCTTGCCTCGTCTCCTTAATCATCGATTGCACTGAACTCTACCATCTCTGCAGTTAAACCGAATTTGAAGCAGAAACTTAATGCCAAGTTTAATCCTGATGTTGACGTTAGATGTGGTATTTAGTTAAAAGATCTGCCTGTCAGGCTGGCTTTGGAGTGGGAACGAAAATGTTTTCAACGCCCTTGAAAGCATCCAACGCTCTCCAGGAGTGGGTCACATGCAGAGGACACATTTTTTTGTCTATTTGTCTGTTTGTACAATGGCCACTAAAGCTGGTTCTTCTTCTCTTAACACGTGTTGAATCTAGATGTAAAAGTGATTCTGGGACAGTGCAGTATACATTACCCAGGTTGCTTCTGACCTTGTTCAACTACAGTTGATATCATCGAACGCCTCGTATTCTGAGAGGACAAACATTAACAGCATATATGAAATATATTTACTTAATAACCAAAGACCATTGTCTCAGTTCTCCTCATCAGGGAGTGTCGTCGCAGGTATTTTTTTCATGTTTCATGTTGTCTTGGTGAAACACAACGTTATCGGTGTTTGTTTTAGCAGCACTTAAATCCAGATTTAGAAAATATCTTTAATAGTTCAAAAACAGCCATGAAATCAATCACAACCACATGAGAGGCATGGCAGAGGAGCAGGCATCACATGTTGCATAAGAAGGCATTTCCGTGACTCCTATGTACATTTACACACTTTATACACAGTAAAAATATAGCCATTGAAGCGTATCTGACAACCAGCACTGTCGGCTAACAAAGCCACGTGAAACATTCATGTAGAAAAAGAAGACAATTAACAATCGAAAATCATTGTAATATACATACACAAACTAACAGATAGTGTATATGCAAATGTAGGTGTGTGACTATATACAGTACATATATACAAATACAGTATATATGTATAAATATATCACACCCATATATACACTTGTTTTATATATGTATGTATATATATATACTTAAATAGATATATAGACATATATATACAAACATATATATGCACCCATGTATAGCTATAAAATGTATGTAAGTGAATATATATATTTATATATACACATACATACAGAAGTGTATACATACATATATACGCACTCGCATACATACTCCTGTGTTTGTGTAACCTAAACAGTACAAATACAACACATCCTTCTGTCAGTTTACACAAATTAATTGTTTTACACATCCATATATCATATCAATAAATATAAATCATGGCGACCGACGTGGTTCATATTGCATCACTTCATTGGACTGTAGTGTCTTGGCTGATTACACTGCAGCTTGGCAGTGAACAACAGTTTTCCTATGTGTTTACAATAGTGTGTATCTGCAAACCACTGGTCTGCACAGGAGCTGAAATAAAAATGCAGGTGGTACAAAATAGGACGCTGCCTTTTTATAACAGGTATCTGAAAAGGGGAGTGTTTTTTCTTTCTTTCTTTCTTTGGCAGTGGTTTAACTCCCAAACCAACACTAGGAACAATATAAAAATGTCTTCTTTTTTTTTCAATGAAAATTCAGTCTTTTACATTTTCAGCAAATCAGAAGAAACTTCTTTCAAGTACATTCTCCTACTGCTGTAGTCTCCCAGCACATACAGAAGGACAGTTATGCCGAGGGATACGACAAGTGCAGTAAATTTAAACCTTCTTAATCACAGGAATGTGGAGTAAACTGGTGAAATGTCTCAGTATAGTTCTCTGATAAAGTTAAATACATTTTATGGACACTAAAGATAGATATAGCTCATCGGACACGAAACCTTCAGCATAAAAACATCCAGTTCAATAACAGATACTTCAAACTCAGGAACTCCATCCCAGTGTTAATACCGTTGAAAACACATGACTTCAGGAGTGTCGGGTTTTATTTTTAGGGGTCAAACGCACTGGACTGTGAGCATTTACTGACTCTTCATTGGCTCTTTGGTGACACAGCTGGCTTATAATAGAGAAGGCAGCCCTAAAATCCTCATTTGTGATTGATTTAGATCCTTTAATACACTTAGTCGTTATCTAGATTTCTTCATATTCCCATAAGACAAAAAATAAACATCTTCAAACACCATGATGTCTAATATCTCCATGCTACAGTGTACTTGGTAGACTCACTCTCCTGCATCAGAAACATCTAGGATACAGGATAAAAAAAGGTACAGTCCAGCACTGCACAGGGATTGGTTAGTGCCCTGCACAAAATTTTGTGAAATCACGGCTCAAAGGTTAGTTGATTGGGCCAAGATAAATAAGAATCAGTTATTATTCAAAAAGGTGACTGGCAGGAACCGGTTTATGAAGAATCCATTATCGGCAGAAACGACTTGTCCAAATATTTGAACTCATGCTTGACTCAACAACCGACTTGAATACTCAAAAGGAAATTAGTCCATTGTGCTAGCGTTTGTCGTAAATTCTGAAATCCATTTCTAAATGGGACAAATCACTGGTTGGTCCAAACATACAAATGGCAGTTTGATGGATTCCGGGTGTTGATGTAAGGCAGGTTTCACCGGGTGATTAGAAAAGAAAAGGACAGTCATGTGTCATGTTCATGGTACAAACAAACAAGTAAAGACGTGCACACACCCACCCACACACATACAACAGACTGTAGGTTCAAGGTGTCTCTACTACCTTGTGCCACATTATCATTTCCTTAACGCAGACAATTATTTTATTGTGCATTATTTTCTTAATGTTATGAAAATAGGTTTTTTAAAAATAAGTATTAATATACAAATAATAATTGTTGTTATTTAAACATGTCATTTTTAGGGCTAAAATCTATGCTGACAGTTTTCCTACAATTAAAGTGTCATTTTTAGGGCTAAAAACTATGCTGACAGTTTTCCTACGATTAAAATAGATTTAAAAAAAAAAAACCTCAATACATCACTGTGCCTACAACATCACAGTATTTCGCAACTTAACGTATCTTCGCCCCTGTATTGTGATACACATTTTTTTTATTATTTATATTTTGGAATGTGGATTTAGCTCAACTAACCATGATTTACTGAGATTAATCAACAGCTCCTCTGTGGAGAAACCAGATTTAAAAATTGTATTAGCTGTTAATACACAATAAAATAATTCTTTGTTTTATTATTATTCATTAGGTGCAGCTGTTATAATAATGCATTAACAGCTGTGGCCTCTCATTAACCCACGCCTGCCTCTAACAACTAACAACATCCTTGACAACGGAGCTGTTGACGCTCTCGTTACATGCCTTTCTCTCTACTCAGTCGCACATCGGACGGGGGTGAGAAGAGGGGGTGGTGGTTCAGGCTGGTCTGCCATATCAGTAAGACACACTCCACGTCATAAAACACTAGAGTACATTCAGCAGCAGCAGCAAGATCTCCGTGGACCTTCGCAGCACCGTGACTTCCAGCAGAAGGACAGATCGCTCATCGCTGTGAGTTGAAAAGACGGTCGGCGTCTTCCAGAGTCTGACCGTAAAAGAAGAAGACTGTACAAACTACGGTCGGTGAGAGAAACGTGTCAATGATTGCAACAAGTCAACAACAGCAGCAGCAGGATCCCATTGACCCATGTGACCGCCGATCACCCAGAGTTCCCACTGATGACGAGGGTGCAGAGGGGAAATTTGTGGTGCGATGTGGTGGAAGCAACACTAGAGCCACAGAAATGTCAAAGCATATCTCACTGTGCACGGCCATGGGGATGTGTTGATCCATACAGTACGACAAACTGCTTCCTGTGCTCTGGAGTGCCCGCTGTGCCCCCTCACGTCTATTCATGCTGTGAAAAGTGGGCACAGGGAATCCATGGAGAAAGTGTAGAAGGGCGTAAGTGACAAGATGTGACCCCACAGTGAAGAGAAGGGCCGAGTGAGCACCAACCACAGCTGTTTTCATCTGAAATGCTTTACCCACTGCGGCTCCAGTAACTGCTGCCCCCTCTGGACACTGTGGGTTTGGGTGAGAAACCAGCGGGTGTGGAGAGTGAGGCGTCGTTGGTGACATCTTTCCTTCTCTTTGTTCTTACTTGCCTCCACCTCAGCTGGAACAGGAACACGTCGTCCTCAGATCACACTGGCCTCTACTGTGGAAGACAAAAATCCAGGGAAATGATTAATGTGATTGGACAAGGAGATGAGTGTTAACTAGGTTGATTTTCTATCATCCGTGTGCACTTTGTCAGGAAAAAAAACCCTGTTAAAACGACTTGTTTATTTACATTGTATCTAACCAGCCAATCACATTACACATTTTCTTATCTTCACTCCAATTTTCTCTCTAGCACCCCCTACTTTGAAAATCAATGTTGTAGGAGAACTGCTAAAACTGCAGATCCAGATCAGATCAAAAGGACAATGACCAGACTGGAGGAAGATCAGAAAAACCAGTCTGCATGATTGACGAGAATAACAATATAAAATAATGATAATGAAGGTGACAATGAAAACTAGGTCCAACCAGGTTCTACCCAGATGTATCTAATAAAATGGCAAGTTTGTCCCCCCCTCACCTCCCAACAGTTTTATTCCCTGTCGTTGTCTTTATACTTACAAAGCAGATGTTTGTCTCTGGGACGATGTCTGAGAGAGAAACGACGTCTTCATTACCCGAAAGAGTTCCAGAATTATTTGCAGCCTCTTCAGCTTCAAAACTGCCCAAGAGAAAAAACCCCAATATGTATAAAAAAAACTGTCTCATATGAAAAAGAGAGAGTGTGTCCTCTCGTCCTCTGTACCTGTGATCAGCAGCCTGATCCTGCTCTGTGTTTGCTGCGTTGTGCACTTCCACACCAACAGAACTGCAACGAAGAGTCAGAGCTCAGAATATAAACTCTGAGTGAGAAGGCGGGACGAAAACAACCGTAGAGGTCTTTGGACTTACCGCAGCGGAGGGGAAATGGAAGCAACTCCTGTGCTGCCTAATGACGGGGTAGAAAAGTCAGCAGGATTGTCTTCTAGTGGAGGGGTCCTTGGCACCAGGTCCGGTCTGCCCTGTTGTACCCCTAAAAACAAGGAGGATGGAAAAACATCAGAGAGCTCATTCCTTTACATTTAGCAGACGCTTTTATCCAAGTGTTTCATCACGGCTCCTACCGCTGTCACCCTCCGACTCTGTGCTTTTGAAATGGCTGTGGTACACCAGTCTGGAGTCCCCTGCCATCTGTGCCGTTGTGTGGGAGAGAGGAGTGGGGGCTCCGAAGGTGGGAGCCCTCCTGAGACCTCCCTGACCTCCTCCCCCTACCCCTACCCCTCCTCCTCCTCCTCCTCCACCTCCTCCTCCTCGACTCTTCTTAGACGGTGATGGTTTCACTGAAGAAAAAGTGGAAATAACGAAAACACCTTAGCTCCCCTGTCATACGTCAGGATGAGAATCCGGGAGGAGTCGAAGTGAACGCACTCACAGGGGATTTTCTTGAACACCGTGTTACACATGAACTGCTGGAAGCGCTCTGCGTAAAAACCAGGTCTGTGAACTGAAACCGTGTCCTGAGAAGGTGAGAGATTCAACAAAACATGACAAACGTGATGACGTAGAATTCACATGGAGTCATAAACGTGTGAGCGGTAACCTGTAACGCCTTCAAGGTCACACACAAAAAAATGTAACTTTACACCTGTGTAAAAATCACTGACCACGTTTACATATTATTTCACATTTCCCCCATTGTATGCTCTACACAAGGGGTCCCAAACCCCCGGCTCTTGGACCAGTATTGGTCCATGGGTCACATGGTACCAGGCTGTAGAGAAAGAATTAATTTACTGACTCAGGATAGGAAACCAGTGGTACCAGAGGTATGAAAAGACAACATGGTACCAGGTACCAGCTGTAGCTAAGACTCCCCTATATTTCACTGAAGCATTTATTACTACTGCAAATATTTGTAGATGACAAGACTTGTGTTCTTATGCAAAGGCCAGGATGTCAAACCAGTTAAGTGACTTGGAGGCAAGTCTAGAATTTCAGGATGTGTTCCCGGTTCAGTCATCCCAGCAAAAAGGAAAAAAAAACCTGGTACAGAATGAGTCCGTTAAATATATATAATAAAATGTGTGTCCTCCTGAAGTGGACAATGAGAAAGCTGAGAGGACAAGAAGAAGTAGGACAAACTGTAAACTGTGTTTGTGAGTGAGTGACTTTGAAGGTGAAGGTGACACCAGTGTGTGCGTTTCTGGTACTTCAAAAGCCGGGGGAGGGGGGGGGCACTTTGTCCTTGAAGGGTCATTTTGCAGGTGTCCAGTGATTGAGAGGATAGTTTGAGATTCAAGATTGGGATTGGAGTAAGGACTGGAATTAGGATCAGACTAAGGAGACTAGGTTGGGGGTCTACAACCTCTTAAGCCTCTTGGGATTGGAGTAAGGACTGAAATTAGGATCAGACTAAGGGGGGCTAGGTTGGGGGTCTACAACCTCTTAAGCCTCTTTGGAATGGCTCCCTTAAAATCTGCGTGACAGCGCAACAACA